AATACAGGTTTTTAACAAATTTTTAACTCCATTAATTTTCCTCCAATTTTATGGTGCTAAATTATTTGAAATCTCCCAGTTTTCAATGGAACGGCATTTTTCGTATTGCTTATCAATAAAATTTTGCTCGAAGACGTTGGTTACAATCCGCCAGCGAGTATCTATACATCGCATGTGTGTAAATAAGGTAAACATTGTTTTAATAAAATATTATAATGTTGTAAAATATATTCCAGTGATAGAGTTTCAATAGTCGATGATCTGCAGTTTCTGCGAATAAAATTATTATCACATAACAAATCATGACAAATTATTACAAGAATTGTTCATACCTACAAAATAGTGTGTAATTTATTAGTGCTTGTTTGAAAGGCAGTCGCTCACGTCTGTTATACCCTTTATTTGTCGCTGTAATCTAATACAAATTGACCTGAAGAACAAAAACTATATCATTCAGCACTTAAAGCAAATCAAATGGACTCACACATATTCACCATTTAAACGAAATGCTAGCGTAGCATTGTAACACACTTCGTTCAATCCAATCTTGATTGTACGTGAACCTATTCAGTCATTCTTTATTACTTACTCAGTACTCGACATAATTCAGGCGTCCACTATTACGTAGGCACGATAAAAACGTGACAAAATTGCTTTATCGAACGCGGGCAAAGAATGTTGTATAACGGATTCGCCGGGGCATTTAAATTTGCAAGCAGACACTCATTGGTTTTGTTTACTAACAGGACAAATCGACAATTCAAAGGAATAATTGTAACAAAGAGAGTTACTAGAAGTGGGTCCAAATAAATCGTTTTCATAGAACTTCTAGCTTTTCATGTTCGTCGGTGTCGCATTTATAATGCTGACAATCAGTTTAGTATATGACACGGTGAGAAACACTGAGCGGTTCGACATATGCATCAAGCGTATGGCATGACCTTGTTGACAAGAGAGGGCAATACAGGTAGATGGATCTTTTGGGGAGCAGACGAATTGTCTATATCTTCGGAGGAACGAATTGGAAGGACATATCGTCTAAGCAACTCTGAGTGAGTTTTTAATATGCTTATTAAACTGCCTTGTTTACCTTTTAGATTTTGTGTTGAGCCAAGCGTATATGTATGTCTTGGTATTGGTCCAAGGATCGAAGGTATTCATGTCGATTTAGTAGTGTTCAAGTTAAATCCTAACAAATACTGTACGGAGGTATCCAAGCCGACTGGCTGTATGGCTTGGTTTGCTTAGCCAATTCGACGGAATAATTAATTTAATTGGTTGTTTCTTATGAGCCGTGAATGTTTTGTGAGTGTTTTATTTCTCTATCATTTTCAGGCATTTGCGTTGGGTGTTTAGCAGATTATCTAGCTTAAGTTAGTCAATTGTCTTCGTAACGAACGATGGGTGATGTTACTAAGTCGTTTCTTTATACATGGTGCGGCAAAAATGGCTGTCAACCTCCAAGCTATCAGGTTAATCCGACAGGCCCAAAACATAGACAGCGTTTTCTATGTGAGGTACGGGTAGAGGGGTTAGAATACACCGGAGTTGGAAATTCAACGAATAAAAAGGATGCACAAACCAATGCTGCTAAAGACTTTCTTCAGTTTTTGGTGCGAGAAGGTCGCCTGTTGCAAAATGAAGTGCCTATGGAAATGCCCACCGGTACGTTGCAATATTAACCCCCACTATTTAAGTCTAGACACAAGCTCCTGCAGTTTTTTCAACTTACTTAATATGTAACCGGCATTTAGTATCATTAATCGCTCTCGTATATTCTTTGTTATGTTACTATAAGACACGATATTTTTTTACTGTTCATCAGTGATACTGTACGGATTTTCTTTATACCTTTTGAATGCCAGCAGTTTATAATTTTCTCTGCATTTATTTTCACAAAACTGTGAAACGTGTTAATTTCCATTTTGTCTCTGTGTCAATACGGACAGGCAGTGTACCTACACATGTTTCCATATAACTTCTGCACTTTAAACACGACACGCCTCCTCATAGGCTGAAGCATCAATAGTCAAATCGTATACGGTAAAAGAATAATTAGGAGAATTAGACTTAACTTGACCTTATTGTCTAGTGATTTTTCATAGTTAATTTTGTGTTTTCGATTTTAGGGGGAAGTAATGCGTCGCTTTTTGGGGGTGGGCAACAGGCCACACCTCGCTGGAATGCACCTCGCGAAGCCCCGAAGCATAGTGCTGGACCCTACCGCGGAGGTATGGGCGAAGCCTACGTCGAACGAATGCTACAGCAAAACAAGAAGAACCTTGAGGACGCTGAGGATCTGGACGTGAACGCCGAGATACACGGCAACTGGACGATTGAGAACGCCAAAAGTAAGCTGCATCAGTACATGCAGATGAACCGTATTACAGCCGATTACAACTACAGAAATATTGGCCCAGCCCATAATATGAGCTTCATAGCCGAATTAACTATATTTATCCGGAGACTAAACCGTTCTTTGACTGCCCGTGAACAAGGATCAAACAAACAGACGGCATCAAAGTCCTGCGCACTTTCAATGGTTCGTCAACTTTACCACCTTGGGGAAATCGAACCCTTTTCAGGCACATTAAAGAAGAAGGAAATAACAGCAATGAAAGAATTCGAGTTCAACATAGACCCTGAGCTTGTATGTGAGGTGAATCAAGTGGTAAAAATGTTAGATCTTCCACTGAATGTACCCGATAAGCCACCTGTTTCTAATAAACCTTTTACCATCAGAGCGAAGCAGGTTACTGAAGTGCCAAAGTGTAGAGGCCAACCAGAGGGCGTAGTCGGGTGGTCGCCACCAATGGTGAACTGGAACCCTTGGCTTCAACAAAATCTCGATGAGCATCGTTTTGCTACAATGACTATGGAACAGATCTCAAAGGAAATGCTCGAGGTATATAATAATCAGCTGGACAATCCGGAACTGCGCCAGATGATCCAGAAACGAGAACAACTGCCTGTGTATCAATTCTATGATGCGCTCCTTGACGCCATTCATGCGAACCCGGTTACAATTGTGCGCGGCAATACTGGTTGTGGCAAGACAACGCAAGTGCCCCAGTATATTCTAGACTCGTTCGTCAATGTCGAAGATGGCGCCCAGTGTAACATCGTTGTTACTCAACCACGTCGTATTTCGGCTATTTCTGTAGCAGAGCGGATTGCTGAGGAGCGCTGCGAACAACTTGGTGAAAGCGTAGGCTATTCGGTTCGTTTTGAGTCGCTCCTTCCTAGACCGTACGCTTCTATCCTTTTCTGTACGGTTGGGGTACTGCTCCGTAAGCTTGAAGGTGGGCTACGAGGTGTGAGCCACGTCATTATCGATGAAATCCATGAACGGGACATCAACACAGATTTCCTCATGGTGGTAATTAGGGATATGGTAAGAAAGCACCCACAGTTACGTGTTATACTCATGTCGGCGACAATTGACATCACATTGTTCCAGGAATATTTTGGTAATAACGTTCCAGTTGTTGAGGTGCAGGGTCGCGCTTTTCCCGTACACCAACTGTTTCTCGAGGACACCATTGATCTGCTGAAATGGAAGCTTCCGGCAGACGCGCGAAAAAAGCGGAAAAATAAAAGCGGTAGTGGTGGAGGCGGCGACGATGACGATGATGACTTTCCTGGAGATGAACCTGACGAAAACTTAAATAAAGTGGCCGATCCGTCATTTGGGCCCCAAGTGGCTGCCGCTATGTCTATGATCGACGAGCGTCAAATTAGCTTTGAGCTCATTGCGGACATATTGAGGTATTGTAAACAACAGCAGGCAGATGCTGCGGTATTAGTCTTTCTGCCTGGATGGAACATGATCTTTGCCCTCCTAAAACACCTCGAAGCAGATCCCGTATTTGGAAACAAAGATAACTTCACGATCTTGCCACTGCATTCTCAAATTCCAAAAGAAGATCAAGGTCGAGTGTTTCGGCCCGCTTTGCCTGGTTGTATGAAAGTCATTTTATCAACTAATATTGCTGAAACGTCGATTACGATCAACGATGTGGCCTTCGTTATAGACACGTGTAAGGTTAAAATGAAGATGTTCACAGCGCATAATAACATGACAAACTATGCTACAGTGTTTGCATCAAAGACAAACTTGGAGCAGCGAAAAGGTCGGGCCGGTCGAGTTCAGGAGGGCATGTGCTTCCATCTAATTAGCCGGGAGCGTTTTAAACGTCTAGATCAATACAGCACCCCCGAGATCTTCAGAACACCTCTACATGAACTGGCACTGTCCATCAAGTTGCTTAAACTTGGTGAGATTACACCATTTCTTAATAAAGCAATGGAACAGCCTCCAATTGATGCTGTTGTTGAAGCCGAAGTAACACTTCGGAATTTGGGTGCTCTCAGCGCGGATGGCTCACTTACCAAACTGGGTGAAATACTCGCACGTATGCCAATCGAACCCCAACTGGGGCGAATGATTGTGTTGAGCGTTATATGCGGTTGCGCAGATTCGTTGCTAACTATTTCGGCTAATAGTTCGACGTTTCCAGAGCCTTTTGAAACCCCCTTTAGGGGCCGGCTGCAATATCTGCATCGCAAATTCTCAGGTGGTGCATATTCAGATCACTTGACAATGCTCAATGTGTATCAGCAGTGGGAGCAGGCACGATTACGCGGAGGAGAGACTCAAGAACAGAATTTTTGCGATCAGTGGTCTGTGTCACTACCGACTATGCGAATTACTCACGACGCTAAGCAGCAATTATGCCAAATACTCGTGAATGCTGGCTTTCCAGAAGAAGATTTTCAATGTCCCATTTATAATTTTAAGGGAGAAGATAAAGTACTGGAGGTCGCCGTGGGACTGCTCATTGCAGGCCACTACCCGAATATCTGCTACCATCAGGAGAAGCGCAAAGTTCTGACAACTGAAGGAAAATGTGCTCTTGTCCACAAAACATCGGTGTGCAATTCCCTCCAGCAGAAATCGGGATTTCCATCACCATATTTCATTTTTGGCGAAAAGGCAAGTGTTACTAAGCTATGCATTGTAGCTCATAGAAGTATGGCATTGTTTGAGAAATCAGTGGTTAATGGGGCTAAAGACTCACAACAACACTATTATATTATTCTCAGTCACAAATTGCTATAAATTATTATGGTGCTTAAAAGACTGTAGTAGCTCTTGCTTTTTTTTTTATGGCAATAAGATGCATTTGTGACGTGGCTCATACTATACGTTATGTATTTCTACTTAAATTATAAACTAACAGAGAAACCAGTTACGAAAGGCAGTAATCAGTGAATATTTTCACGTTGTTTTGATACGACACGATTTTCTTCCCTCATTTATAGTATGTACATGGTATACTTTGACTAATGACTTTTGTATCAATCGCTGCCCGTCGTCCCTCGTCTTATTTATCCTTTGAAGGTTCGTACGCGCGCAGTCTCTTGCAAACAGATGACAATGGTAACGCCGCTACAGATTCTTCTATTCGGCGCCCGAGAAGTAATCGCTACCAGCCCCAACACTGTGGTGGTGGACAATTGGATTGCATTCAAAATGGACGTACAATTGGCTGCAGCTATTGTAGCCCTATATGAGCCCTTCAATTATCTTCTACATCGTGTAGTTGAAGACCCAGAATTATTGGGCCAATTACCTGAGAATGACATGGCTCTCATAAACGTTGTTAAACGTTTGTGTTATTTCGGTTCGTCTGGATTGGACATCCCAGCTGGTGGCGTTGGCTTCCTAAGCCAAAACGAAGTCGGCGATGGGCCACCACCAATTAAAACGGCCCGGCTTTCGCCTGCGGTGGCTATGGGCCGAATTGGTTTCGGAAATGGTTACGGTAATGGACGTCCTGGCGGATATAGCGGGTCAATAAATGGCAACAATAATATGGGAAATCGTTTTGGGTCTTCGGGGGGCTTCCGCGGCGGTGGCTTCCAGGGTCACAATAAAAGGGGTGGTTTCCAGGGAAATACAAAGGACGGAGCTGGTGGCTTTGGTGGACGTGGAGGTGGTGGTTTCAGGGGGAACAATAGAGGTGGCTTTGTTGGAGGCTTCCGACTTGGAGGTTTTGCTAGTGGTAGTGGTAATCTAGGTGGTGGTGGTTTCAGGGGAGGCTACGGTAAATCGCGTGGCAGCTTTCTAAATAGCTTTTCATCGTCAAGAGATAACTTCTAGAACAGTTTTTTTTTTTTTTAGAGAATGATGTAATAATTCTATGGTATATGGAAGAGTGTGCCCGGTGACTCAAATGACTAAACCTATGGCTAGGGAATCCAAAGGTCGCTACTGTTTCAGCTCCGCCAATGACATGTATGACACGGCGGATAATAGTAGTGAATAGAACTGAAATCCCTTTACGGCATCTGTGTCGAATTGTATTAAGGGTTGATGTTGTGTTTGATATTGTCACGTTAACACTGTAATCCTTATATACGAGAAAAAATAAGTACTATTTGTCCGCCCTTCGCGAGCGAATGCATCCAGGAATTGGGAACGCAGTATTCTTTTAATACATTCTCCTGCTGCAAAAGCAAGCAACGCAGTTATGTTGCCTCTTGTGCGGCAAAAAAATCCAAAGTGCAGCATCATAATTTGTTTGCAGGTCTGTTGCCTACGTACAGGACAGCGCGATCTACCTCTACCTATAAAGATAGACATGCTGTGCTATGTGTACTGATTATTGAATATCGCGAAGGATGGACGTTTCTACGTGAGTTCCGTTTGATTTATGATCACAGCAAGAGCAACTGGGAAATTTAGGTGCTTATGTTGTGAAATCGTTATGAATGCTCTGTGCGTGTGTAAAATACTTTGCAAGAGCAGAAAGGCATTGTGACGAGACAATAGCAAACTAATAAATTGAAATATAAGTGGTGTAGCAGCGCACCCCGATTCTTAATCGTCGTGGGCTGCTCCATTTAAGTCCTACATGTAATTTAAGTATTCTTGAGCAGTACTTTCAGCTCTAGAATACTTATTAATATATCGCTTGTGACGCTTATGGCCAGTGGTGTGTGTTCAGCAAGAAGACAGCAATTCTTTGTTTGTGATACTTAACATAAAAGGTAAGTTTTGCCCATATGCCACCTGTTCGATAATGTTTCATAAATATACCACGAGGAAAATAAAACACCGCAGGTAGATAGGTAGGCAGGCAAACTGGCACAAGCTGAACCGAACCAGTTACTGTTTGTATTTTTCTTTATTTATCAATAATAATATTTTATCTGAAGTTCTACTAGTTACATTTTGTAACTATAATATTCAGTATCACTTTCTTCGCTTATACAGTTTTTTTTTTTCGGAATTCAAATAGTGTTTAAAAAGATATTTCTGTAGCAAAAACCAATGTATATTTAAACATGAGTTTAGCTCATGGTTCATCATTCAATAAAAACTAATTTTTCTATATCGATGCTTTGTGTTTTGCTTTACTTGTTGTAAATGTTTGAAATCTGAGATGAGATCAACGACGATTAGAGATGTGTTTTTAAATTGACATAACCAATAACAATCTGGCCTAAAAAAAATATTTCGCTATGCGTTACATAGGTATAATTAAAAAAAAAATAGGATTGTGAAATTTACTTATCGAGCACAGGCTAGACAAACATATTTTTACATGGTGTTTTTTTTCAATGAAGCAATTATCACAGCCCGAACCCTTCCTCTACTTTGAAAATTATTAGTGTCACGTTGAAAACGTTTATAAAAGCAAAGCAAGCTGAAAGCAACTTACCTGTGTAATTTCAGAAGGTTTCACCAATTCTAGAAAAAAATATAATTTAGAACATATAGATGGTGCCGTTTCTAAAACACTGTAAAACAAAAGATCTCCGCATCCGATCCATCTCTATCGCACGAAACAGGAAAATATTTTCCTGTTTCGTGCGATAGAGAAAACTTTTGTGGCAAATTAAAAGTGCCTCTTTTCTTTGAGATTTAGTGGCTGTCACGCAAAGTACCGCGTCTATGACATATGAGGTATCAGAAATATCAACTGCCGTGGCATAAGAGTTTTGTCATCGTAACATGGCCTCTATATCTAACTTGCTCAAGAAAGGCAAATCGAAAATTGCATGCTGTTATATTAGGTAAAATTCTCATTACTTTGCATTAATAATGGCTGATATGAATGTAAGTTACGCCGAGACGCTTTGCTATTTCGCTCCTCAAATAAATCTGAGGATGATATAGAAAAAACGTACTTTGTATGAACTTTATTATATATTATGTAATATTACAATACAGTACATCTGCTAAAGGTTTTTTAAAGATACATCACAGGCACAGTAGCATAATAGTATTTGAGTGGATAACACTTTCATTCCAGGACGACCATTCTTGTATGAGAATTCTATTGTAATCTATATCAACTCATCTTTTCTTCCTGTTTCTGTCATGCTTCTGGACTAGCACCAAAGCAAATCACATCCGCTGGAAATAAATATGAAGTAAGAAAAATGGTTCGTTACTTAAAGGGATGATGTCTTAAACACCTCACCCGAAATCTATCACAACGATGAAAGCGTATTTAAATATGAAAAGTAAAAATCACTCCAAAAGATCTATTCCTAGTTCAACGTTCGGACTTACAATAATTTAGACAATTCTAACTGGTTCGATCTTGTTAGTATAATAATATTCTTTTGAGAACATATTAAGTAATTTGTATCGATAATACGAATATCGTTACGGCCCATGCCCATAACCCTAAGCACTTCACGCGGTGACCCTTATAAGGACGATGTATTACTCGAAAAAATAGCATTTGTCCCGATAATAGTGCATCGTCGGTACAATATATAGTTATAAGTAAGAATTTTACACGAAAGGTGGTACTACACTGCCAAATTGGCAAAACGCATGGGTGCTCTTGACCGTGATTGGGTTTTCTATTACTTAGTAACCTGATCAAACTTTCCTATGGCAACGTTTTTCATATTTCTAACGATAGGTCAAAAATACACTTACAAGCGACAATTGTAGATGTTGTATGAGCTAGACCCCTGGCGTCGATGATTTCTCCGTAGACAAGCCTTCCATCAATAAAAACGCGGTGACCCTTTCTTACATTTTGTGAAACAGTAGTACGTAAATGCGGCTTGAATATTGAAATACGGTGCCACTCAGTCTTTTGTTGAATTTCTCCCGTCTCGAAACTAAAATGGATAACAAAACTCATCGAAGAATGGCGAAAAATCGATGAAATAGTACTTCCTTACTGGTATTGAAAGGAAGTGGAACACAAAGAAGCCTACAGACATTTATTTGAAAAGATGCTTCATTTTATGTAGTTGTAGCTCCTAACCATTGGCTTTGTGTGGTAAGATAACACATTCTGGGAGAAGGTAGAACGTTTCAGGTCAAGAAATGTCCGAATTATTCATCCAGTAGCCTTACACACATACACAATGCGCCTCTAAACAATTTTATTTGGAATCATCAATATATAAGATTATAAGCGCCAGATACAAAAATAGTTTATATATTTTCACTTGAATGTAAAATGTATTCTGCAGAAACAGAAGCTGTATCACCGTTGTCGTGAGTATGGGTATTGCTTGGGTATCAAAAACAACTATAAAAAAAACTAGGTCTATGCTTGTGTAATCATTCCTATAGACGTTCAGTTATTTGGAGCTAAGCAAATCTGTAGATAGGAATGCTGCACTATTTATTGTTTATTGACATCGTTTGTTCTACAAAAAATATATGAAAATACATGGAGGTTTACAGCTCAGCCAGGGTGAAGGATAAGTGTCGCGTTTAGTCATAGACAACTAATACACTAAGACGAGTACTATAAACACATAATTGTTATTATAGAATGATGGCGGCGCAAGATTGATTACTATATCACCAAAATAAGTGTGAAGAAATAATGTATGTGATTTTGAAATATATCTGTGGCAATCTGGGTTCTCTCATAAGTATACGATAAGTGCAAAATGCTATAAGGAGATCAGGTCTGTGAAATTAAATAGAGTAAATGAAAGACTGACTCACAATACCACATACAGAGAGAAAATAACAATGTAAGGGTGGAACAATTATTTAGTTTTGTAAGAAAGCTTTCTTTCGTGAAGGAATTCAGGGAGAAATGTGAAGCGCTTACCGATAGTTATGATTCGTCGCTAGAGTGAATACAACGACGGGACTCGCATCGCTCCCTCGAAGCTGAGGATCAATACCCACTCGGCCCAAAAGGGTAATGCGGTTGATTGCTAATTACGATAAAAAGAAACGTTTAGTTAAACTACACAGGCAGAAGGCACGATACACTACGTATATACCTACTTATTTACTAAATATACCTATTTATACACAACGTATAGTACCACTCGCAATACGTAAATTGCACGCACAAGGGGACACCCGAATGCCTTTGTTTGATTCTTTACAGAACGAGTAAAAAGCCTACTTTCAGGCTATTTGTTTCAGGCATATGTTTCCCTCTGAAGCATGTTTTCCATTAGCACGTTGCAGCCAGCATAACAGAAGAAATAGATAAAGCGAAAGAAAATACATGTGAACATTGTATTTACGTGTGAAATGCCAGCTCGATAGTAACTTTGTAGTTCTCTTAGGGCAATGCATTATGAGTGGATCAGAAATATTTTTGACGAAATGTCGCAATGGAAATATATATCATAGTTCTGCATATTTAGGTACAAAAAGCGTTCTTTCGTGTCATATACGAAAATGAGAGTTTGAATGCAAACAAAGGCAGTAATTAGCTTATTTAACTTACACTTTTCAAGATTCGAAACAACTTTCGCTGGCGGTTCTTGTCCACTGCACATCTGCCGGCATTGTGGTATGATCACAGGTCTCTGGAATTCCAACGTAGACTTTATTAAAGGAAAAAGTACATTTCAAAATTATAAGAGTAGCATTTGTTTAACATTTTAATAGTTAAGAAGTTTTCATCCAAAAAAATCTGTAGGGCTGTACAGAAAATCCCTGTTAATGAATGATACGCAAAATTCTACTTCAAGAAAATATAATTTGTGCTTCTAAATTATGAGAAACAGTATGTTAAAGTGAGCGACAAATATAATACTTGAACTAAGCATTACAATGATTTTTTAATAGATTTCAACTATATTCATGACATTTTAGCGAATATAGGTTAATAATAGTTTTTCAAATTTACATAATGTGTAGGAAGGTACGCAGTGATCTACTGCCATGGAAGAGTTAAGCTTTAAACATAAAAATCGAGGAATTTAGGCACTGAATGAAGAATCTGCTTCTCAAACACAACTAAAAATACTCCAAAGGATTCCTATTATAACACCTCGCCGAGTTATCGAAAAGGCATCACAATGATGCAGATATCTTTGCAAAAAGCAGTTGAATATCTAGAAGGAAGTAAAGAATAAGAATCAAATTTTTTAATGTTTATAAGTATCTTAATAATGACAAATATAGTGTAATTAATGAGCAAGTAATGAGCTTTGCTGTAACGAAAGCGACAGTTATCAAAGATTCAAGGCTCAACTTCGATGCAAGTATACACAACAATGTCACTTTTTAATCTTTCAAGTTTTATTCGAGTAATTAAAAATTTCTTATACCTATTCTACTAATAAATAGGGGATCTATGTTAGCGTTCAAGTAGTTGCTTATATGGTTTAAAAATGGAACAAAAAACCACGGATTGCTAAACACAGGTGAATGATAAATTTCTGCCTCGACTCTGATTAGACTCTAAAGTTAGTTAGTAATTACCACTAAGAGATCAGTGTTTGGTTAATTGTACAGATTTATTATAAATGTACAGTTTTAT